TACGTGAATTTAAACACAGGGTCTTTTTAATAAACTTTCAATTATGGATATGACTGGATATAGTGAAGTAAATAAATACAAATGTCTTTCTACATGGGAACTTACTTTGTTTTATCAAATTGTTTTCCTGACTTTTTGTGGATTACTTTTTAAAATTTGGGTTAATTTTTTCCCCACTAGCATACTGGCAAGTGCCCTCCAAAGCTTGGAATTCTTACCCCAGTGATTTCCTTGGTCCATTGTTAACCAAATGGCAGTGAACTCACTCTGTACTCCTTGTGCCTGGGGGAGAGAGGCAGTTCAAGTGGATTGTGCCCTTTGAGAACACATAGGTGGAAAGATTCTAAAAAGTGCATGCCTCTGTCATTTTGGTAATCCTCACGGTTTTGGGGTTTTGGATCCACAGAAGGTTAATGATAACCAACACTTTTCATCGTTTTTGTTAAATTAGTGTTATTATACCTTAGGCTTCGTTTTTGTCTAGCTTCCTGTGAAGACTGAGTCACAGTGCTGGTAATAGTAGTTGGTGGTTTCTTCCAGGGAGTTTGAGATAGCATGTCAACAACTAAAGGAACATTTATTTGGGTAGTTCTAGGGCCCCAAAGGGCTCTCCAGGACTGTGAGGATTCATGGAGTGGGAATTAGAGTTTTGAGAACTAAGGTAAGAGCAGTGGGTTAGGGTCCCAGGTTTGGGAGTTCCCTATCAGCCAAGGATAAATCAGAGCTACAGGTCAGCCACACCTGGACACAGGGTTTCATCCCTGACCTTCTGCTTTTCTTTCTCTGTAAATTTCATGAATGGCCTTATCTAAGTCTTCAGCTTCAACTAAAATATTGATGACTCCAAATTCTATCTCTAGGATCAACCCCACTCCCAAATTCCAGGCCCTTGTCCCAGTTGCCTATTATATGTCATCATTTGATTGTGCCCTAGATTTCTCTAACTCTAAGTATCTGAATGTGAACTTACCAAATTTTTTTCATTAAATAAGAAAAGAATACTAGCATACAAAATTGTCCCTACTCCAATTATTCTTTTTTTTTTTCGTCTTAGTGAATGGTACCATTGTCCATCTAGTTGCCCAAATAAGAAATTCTAGGCAGTTACCTTTTCACTCAAAGAGTGCCCTAAGTTCTACCTCTTTGAGCCCTGTTCTGTTTTCTGTTGTATCTTTAGTTCCTAGAATGTTTTCTGTCACATAGTAAGAATTCAGCAAATATTTAGTGAGTGAAAAAACAAAGAGAACAAACAGCCATTGGCTCCATAAGAAAGATGGTTAATTCAGGGAATGGACAAGAACTTAAAAAACATTTTTAAAATAAGTATATTTGGGGAAACATTCATGAGAAACTTCTCCATTAAGGAAGGACAGGCAGCTATGGGAAAGGAACAGCCTAAGGGAAAGAACAATATCTTGGAAGTAACAATAACAACAACAACAACAACAAAAACACCAATGGGCAGGCTGAATAATAAAACTTTCACAGCTGAAGACCCAATTAATAATCTGGAAGATTTGGGCACCTGGGTGGCTCAGTTGGTTAAGTGTCTGACTCTTGATTTCGGCTCAGGTCATGATCTCAGGGTTGTGGGATCGAGCCCCACATTGGGCTGCGTGCTTAGCACTGAGTCTGCTTAAGATTCTCTCTCTCCCTCTCCCTCTGCCCTTCCCGCCTCACGCTCTCTCTCTCTCTCTCCCTCAAATAAATAAATAAATAAATAAATCTTTAAAAAAATAATCTGGAAGATTAAGTGAACAACAGAGTCTCTTAGAACATAGTGTAAAATGGCAGACAGAAATTATGAGAAAAGTTAAAATATGAAGGATGGATCCAAGAGGTCTAATACCTTTCTAATAGAGTTTTCAGGAAGCAAGACAGGTACAATGGAAGTAAGACAGCAATAAAAGAAATAAAATAAAATTTCCATAAACTAAAGCAAAGGAATATTAAGATTCAGATGGAAAGGCCCATCAAGTGCTAAACAGGATTGAAATGAAAAGCAGAGTATCTGTTGTATTTTATCAAATCTCAGATGACAGTGGTTAAGACACATCTTTATTTTATGTACCACGAGCAAGGCAAAACTGCTGCCTATTAAATTATGATGTGCACACAGTTGTAAGGCACCTCAACTTCAAAGATGTTAAAACACTGAGTGGGACACAGAATATGTCTTAGAATTGATGAAAACAGCAGGTACATTCTGGTGAAATTTTAGGTCTCTAAAAATAAAGAAGAGGAAAAAGACAGTTTATCTATAATGGAACAAAAAAAGGAAACTAATTTTCTCATCAGCATCACTGGTTGCTACAAGCAAATAAAGCAAAGTTTTCAAAAGGAAAAAAAATTGAATCCTAGTTCTTATATCCAACTAAAGTCTCAACTGAGTATGGAAGAGAAATAAAGATATTTTTGAACGTGTGAAAACTCAAAAAGTTTGTTATATGTGGAACCTGTTTAAAGAAATTATTCAAGAAACACTCTAACCAAACATGGAAAGAATCCAATATGCAGGATGATAAGGACCAAGAAGAAGGAGAAAGGAAATGTGACTCAGAAGTAAAGGGAGCTAGAAAATGACAAGTTGTAACATTAGGGGCGCCTGGGTGGATCAGTCGGTTAAGCGTCTGCCTTCGGCTCAGGTCATGATCCCGGGGTCCTGGGATCGAGCCCCGCATAGGGCTCCCTGCTCAGCGGGGAGCCTGCTTGTCCCTTTCTCTCTGCATGCCGCTCCGCTCACTCTCTCAACCTGTCAAATAAACAAATAAGATCTTAAGAAAAAAAAGTTGTAACTTTACAGCAGCCCTGGGAAGAGTCTCCTTTTAGTAGCAAAGCTTAGTTACAGGTTTACCTTGTCTTCCCTGTGGAGCCAATTACACTTCTTGGTCTTGCAGTAAATAATGTTTGCAGAAACACATTTCACTTTTTAGATTCAGGCTGTACATAAAGCGTGGGGCACTTAATTAGAGTTTGAGAACAATCCTATAGACATTAACAATGTAAAAATAACAGTCCTTCCCAAAACTGGGAGGTGGAGAGAGTGAAGACTGTTAGGGGGAAAAAAAGACTAAATAAATTTCCCATCTTTCACAGCAGGGAATTAACAAATCAAAATATAGAAGTTTACATATTTTGAAATGATAATAAAGGCAACTATGATGTGAGTTAAACATCTGCAAATTAAAAAAAACCCCAGGCATGTGAGGGAGAGAGAGAGAGAGAAGGCAGAAGATAATGTGAATGCTTTAAATTCTGAATCTTTATTTGTGGAGAAGCCCAAATCAATAAAAGCTGTTATTTATTTATAATAATGATGAGAAAAATGAAAACAAAACACGATGAGCAAACAAAACCTTAACTTCTGGGAAGTGAGAATCTCAGGTTCGGGTATGCTATTTGCAGTTCATTTAAAAAATGCATGTATTATCTATTATGAAAAATCTAAAATAATATGAGGGGCGCCTGGGTGGCTCAGTCGGTTGAGCGCCGACTCTTGATTTCGGCTCAGGTCCTAATCTCAGGGTCATAGGATTGAGCCCCTACTGGGGCTCATACTCAGCATGGAGTCTGCTTGAAATTCTCTCCCTCTTCCTCCCCCCAGTCCTCCCCCACTTGCACATGCACCTTTCTCTAATAATAAAGAAAGAAAATCTTTACAAAAAGCTAAAGTAATATGAATGAAGAAGTCAATAGGTAGTATATAGAAGTAAACGGTAATATATGTTAACTGTCCATCACATAATAGGCACTCAATAAACTATAGCTTTTAGGGCTGTTGCTACAAATTTTGTTATCTTTTATTTGTGGCAGCTGATGTTGGCAGGGTTCTCTCTGTTCCCTCAGATATGAATAAAACTGGTTCAAACCCACATTCTGTGCTTTGTGGCAGCCTAGAGCATGCCCTGGGTTTTCTGCAGATGCCCACGGCATCGTCTGGTGGTTGTCGCCGTGTCTAGCTCCTTCTTCCACTGAACTAAGTCAGTTTCTGAGTTTCACTGTGCTCTGCTTCCCATCCCAGTTCCCATTTTGTTTAATCAGACCTTGAATTTCATCCAATTATGCAATGTCTATTAAAACAACCCACTCGCAGGACCCCTTTGTATATGTAAATTTGAGGAGGTTGAAGAAGGTAAGTGACAGGGACCAGGTATCACCAAGATGCCATTTCAAATTAAATAGTGGCCATCACCCCTGGACACCGGTCACCCACAATGTCACCAGACGCTAGCACCACCAGGCCTTGTGGCCTTGCCTGGCCATTCTCTCTCTCTCTCTCTCACACACACACTCTCTTTCCTCTTCCCAGTCCTTCTAATTACTCAGGGGAAGTTAGCTCTAAGTTCCTTTTACTCTCTTCTGCAGAACTCTCTAGTTCCTTTTCCCGGACCTGGCTCTAGACTTTCCTGGGTGGAGCCCACCTCACCAAGATGGGCAACAGATTCAGGGCCTTTTGGGTCACAGAACCCACCAGAGAGGTAGTGGTAGTAATAAGGAGCACCTTTTTCTGTCTTTTGTGTAGGAACACAGAGATAGCTAAACAAGCAGATTTTTATATTCAGTATGCTTTCTCACTGCCATCTGCTCTTAACATCAGAGAGATAACACTAGTGAAAAGTCATTATAATTATCATTTCAATCATGTAAATCATCATTTAAAATAAAGTTTCCTTAAAGGTTATCACTACACTAATAACTGCCTACTTCATTAAAAAAAAAAAAGCATAATAGTAAAATTTGGCCAACATAGGAGTGCAGAGAGATGCACTTTAAAAAGATGGTAGTGGGAAAGTTGGTTTTAACGGACTGTGATTGTCCAGTTGCAAAGGCAATGTACAAAAGCCCTGGGCTTTATACATTAGGGAAGGCAGACAAGACCCCTGCGGGACTATGGTTGGCATATTCTAAGACTCAGTTGCCTGTCTCTAAGCTGCAGAAAAACTACATCTTTATGCACTGATTTGAAATGTTATACTTACGTTGGTTTATTTTCACGCCAGGTGAGGCATGCAAAACCAGCTGTGGTACACGAAGAAAGGGTGAAATTGTCAGTGGCTAAGGTATAATAATGACTAATATGACCATTACTATTAACATGCTTATTGTTTATATTGATGCTGGCTAATCTTAAACAGTGGCAATGACTTTGAAAGCTACACCGAGAGTGGGTCTCATGAAGAGACAAAGACCTGATTCACACTGTAGTCTGATTCTGGGGTACGTCCGGGCTGGATCCAAAGAAATCTCTCATTTGTGATATGCCTACAATTCCACTGTTAGAGATTCATTCCTTTTGCCAAACTTTGTCCCCTTGTAATATATAAACAATCCTGAGAAATGGGTGACATAAAGCTCTAATGTGATTGACTTGGTCAGATCCTTTCCTGAGAACAGTTTTGGTAAGAAAAAAAGAAAGAAGGACGGAAAATAGAGTAACTGGAGCAGCTCCTGCCTATAATGAGCTGGAGAGGTCACAGTAAGAGAGAGAAAACAAGATTTAGAAAAAGGGATACCTGGTAAGGGGAGGGGTGATGAAGATAAGTTTTGATTGCTTTGTAATATTGCTTAGAACTGGCTGCCTTTAAATGAATCACTTACAGGACATGGAGGATGGGATCTTTAATTCTTGCAATTTATGGGGACTTGCAAGTAAATGTAACTCACTATTCCCTCAAATTATTTTTGATAGGTAGAATGTGCATGCTATTTAATAGAAATAGCTTTTAAGATTTATGAAGAAAGAATATATTGTTCATGTAATTCACTTTGTGATGCGTTTTCTATTGAAAGATTGAAGACAGATACATTTTGGAGGAGCAAATACAAGTACTAAAGGCTAATTTAGAAAAAGAGAAAAAGAAGACAGAAAGGTACTGGTAATAATGAAGCATAATTGTTCATTTGTAGCTAATACAACATTTAACCATCTATAAATCTATTACAGATTTAAGAAAGAATCAGAACAGATAAACAAAAACTGGGAAAAGAAATTCTATATTCTCAGAAATAGGTATGTGGTGATATGTATAAATTCTATTTATAAAAATGTGACTAATCATCTTTTAAAAAGTGACTAATGTACATTTTTCTGTGCATATTAATATAAAATACCAGCATACACCTTTAAAAAGAAATGCAAAATTTGGCTTAAATAGACGAGTTGTCAAAGTCACTTCAAAGAAAAAATAATTCAATATTCTATTACATTCCCTATCTCCATATTTCAATTTTAAAGGATCAACAGGATAGACAGCCTCTTCTTGATATCTGGTTTAATCAGACCTACCTAGTCATCTTCCCTCATAGGGCTATTAAAAGAGTTTCCTGTTTATTTGCACATGATAATATTTAACTGGTCTAGATCTTCTTTATAAAATTGTTTTATATACTGTATCCTCTATTCTTTTACAGACAAAACAGCACCGATTCCTTAATTCTCAGATCTCTTCTTCACTCACATAATCATTTTAATTTATCTTCCCTATGTCACCTTTGTCTTTTTAAAAGTGGAGTAAGTGACTACTGTAAAATTCTGGAAAGGCTAAAAGCAACACCAAGTAGAGAAAATGCCTACTTTTTCCCCCTTGTCCTAACATGTTAATTTAAAACATCTATATTCTATTCTCTTGTTTCTGGCCATAATGTCGCCCAGATGCTCTTCTCTTTATCACATGTTGGAAATTCCTTTGCAAGATTTTCTCACAGTCAAGGAGCATCCAAGGCAGGATGGATTCAGTGTTGGTCTGATGTCAGAGGTCAAGCATGAGACTCATACACGACTTCGTAGGATGATAATGCCCTACATTTGCACAGCACCTCATAAGCTTACACTATTATTGTGAGTGTGTATGAGAGAGAGGGAGAAAAAAGAAATCCTATATGTTGCTGCATACATCACCCTCAAATGGTCTCAGGTGGTACACTGAGAATCCACATGCTAGCCGGAATACCACCAGGTGGTGAGAGAAAGATCTCCTTGTGGTAACATGCACTCCTGCTTGTGTTTCACGTCTGTGCTGATAATGCTCTGTGCTCTGAAAAATGTGCATATTAATACCTGCCCTAACTACCTCATAGGTTATTCTAAGGATAGAATATAAATACAGGTGAGAAACAAGAGACTGAGACTGAGACTGGCTTAAATACGCACTTCATTTCCCCAAACATGGATTTTGGACTATTTCTGAAACTGAGTAGACTCTCTTTCCCTTACTTATTTCTGTGGGGTTCACTTTGGTGTTTTTTTTTAAGATTTTATTTATTTGAGAGAGAGAGGGAGAATGAGTGGAGGGCACAGAGAGAGAGGGACAAGCAGACCTCCCACCGGGAGGCCGGTCGTGGGATTCCGTGTGGGGCTTGGTCTGAGGACCCAGAGATCACGACCTGAGCCACTTAACCGACTGAGCCACCGACTGAACCACCCAGGCGCGCCTGTGGGCTTCACTTTGATCCTTAATATTTATGCTGTGTCTATCCCAATGGGATTCATCCCATATTTCAATGACCATTTACAAGAATGTCTCAGTTTTACTTCAAGTTGATTTGCTGTTAATCAAGATGGTCTACGTCATTTCATCATTTTGATCTTTGCAGACTTTATGTTGCTATCTAAACATTTGGAATAGCAACGTATGATTACATATTTTCTATATGTTTTCTCACTTAACCGACTAACTGGGACATAATGTTGGGACAAAACGCACTGTCTCTCTCATGTGGTTGCATCACCAAGTGTTCATTCAAGGTAATATATAACATAAAGAGTGTGTATATCCAGGGTACTGCCTCATGGTGGGGGATGGAGATTGACAGTACAGTCGCAGATTTGTATCGCTAAAATGGTCATTTCATTTCATTGTAACAGATCTTAGATCAGGCGCCATCATTTTGTTTTGTAGAGGAAAAACTTCACCTTGGCCAGGTAACGTAACAGTCGAATCCAACAATTTCTCAGACAAGTCATGATGTATAGTCAGCCCCGGTCCAATTCAGAGCTTCCACCTCCAAGCTCCTTTTCTGTCTCTGCTGAGTTGGCTCTATTTCCAGGAAGCTGGACCTTAAGCGGGGCCGGCCAGGGCAGGAGCTAGTCTTTCCTCTTAGTGTGGCATGACGCCGTCATGGTCGCGTCTCTCCGCCCAAACGGTGTGCAGGTGTGGCACTTGGGCGCAGGACTAGATCCCCACCCGCCCGGTGCCGCAGTGATGCCGCCGTTGAGTGTCCCACCTCAGCCCGACACCCATCTGAGCCATCCCTCGGTCCCGCCTGCTGAGCTCCTGGGGCCGGCCGGACCCACTGCGCGCATCACTCCGGCCAGGGCGCAGAGAACTTACACGCACGCTGTTCCCACAGGGCGGTGAGTGCGCGCAGCAAACGGGGCTACGTCCGCACCCTTTCCCTCCCTCCTCCTCTCTCCGCATGCGCAGTCCCTCCCAGGGAGATTGCCAACCAGCGGAGCCGGAGACGCGACGTGCCCGCGCAGGCGCACTGTGCTCTCAATCGCCTCCCTCTTCCTCTCACTGTTCGAACCCCCCTTGTTCTTGGACTTGGGGGACAGGGAGAGTTAGATAAACAGAAACCCTGCGCCGCCCCTTCTTTCCTTTTCTCTCCCCGCTTCCCCCCCTTCTTAGGCTTCTGGCTTGCGTCGCCTGTCACAGGAGTCCTAGGACCTTTCCCGGTACACCTGCCCTCCCCGGTCCCGTTCGTTTCACCCCTGACAGGTTTAGACTCTTGTATCTTTGTTCTCAGCCCTTGTCAGGGTGTAGTGTGGGGGGAAAGGACGATTCGGCACTTGGCAGTTTGTTGTCGCTCATTGCCACCTGAGTATACCCACAACACGTTCATTGTCTGTGAAATTCAAGATTCACAAGAAATGCCAATGCCAAATCAGAGTAAATCTGGAGTCTTGGGCACTCGGTGGTTTTTCTGAGTCTTGTGCCTTCCTCTAAATTCAGCTGTCTGGAGTCTTCTCAAAAGCTAGGCCCTGGGCCGGTGAGGGGATGGTGTGGGGTTGGCTCCTGAAGTTCAGAGTGTTCAGCTGATGGTGATCCAAAACGCAGTTCCCAGGCTGGGAAGTGAGGGGAATTGGAATCAAAAGCCAAGCAGACATGGATGTTGATGGTAGCTTTATTTGTAACTACCCAAGCTCGGAAGCAACCAAGAGGTCTTTTAGGGGGTGAATGGATAGATACATTGTGCTATGTCCAGACCTAAAAAGAAATGAGCTGTCAGGCCATGACAAGACATAGAGGAACCTTAAACGTATATTACGAGGTGAAAGAAGCCAGTCTGAAAAGGCCGTGGTCCTATATGACATGCTGGAAAAGGGAAAACCATGGAGACAGCAGAAGAATCAGTGGTTGCCAAGGGCTGGGGGTAGGGAGAGATGAGTCGGTGGAGCACAGAGGATTTTGAGGGCAGTGACACTACTCTGCATGATACTACAAAGAAAGTACATGCCATTACACATTTGTTAAAACCCATAAAATGTACGACACCAAGACTGAACCCTAATGTCAACTATGGATTTTGAGCCATAATGATGTGTCAGTGTAGATTCATTGATTGTAACTAATGTACCACTCTGTTGGTTGTTAACAGTCTGGGAGGCCGTCCATGTGGGGGGGGGCAGGAAGTATATGGGAAATCTCTGTACCTTGTTCTCCATTTGCTGTGAACCTAAAACTGCTCTAAAAAATTAAGTGTGTTTAAAAAATGAAAAGGAAAAAGAAAAAAGCTAAGCAGACAACCAAATGAAGGTGTCAGTCTGAAGATGCTGTTCAGAGAAGTAGGATCCACAGTGAGTAGTAACTGGGGGCTCTGGGACAGAGGAGATGGTTTAATGTGGAGGTCCGTGGTACGTGGTAGAGCGTGGAGGGAGGTCCACAATCCCTGAAGGCTGCAGCGATCCTTTTTCCCCCTGATTCTTGCAGTTTCCAAGGCTGAGTGTGGGGAACAGGCTATTATGATCACCAAACGACACTCAGAACTGAATTTTCCAATGTCCTTTTTTAGCTGAGGGGAGTGTACTTCATTCTTGGAGTATATTTATCCATTCCTAAATATCTCAACCGGAAGTCCTCGCCGCAGTTTAGCCAGCTTATTGCCCAAAAGATACACTTTGTTATTTGGAAATAGATATTTTCTCAAGCAGTCATCTTCATCTGGTAAAGTTATGTTATATGAAAAATCCAGTGTCCTTTTTGCTAAAATATGTGTAACAAATGATTAATCTCAAAGATGCCTGCCATGAAATTGTTAAACTGAATGAAATTAGCAGTTACTAATTGTGTGTTATTGTGTTATGTGTGTGTTGAATGTATACGATTAATGTTTTAGTTTACTAGATAGTGCCCGAGACAATACTAATCGTTTCACATGCATCCAATCCTTATTGAAACTGTAGGTGGTAGTTAAAAATAGTAACTCCAGGGTGCCTGGGTGGCCCAGTCGTTAAGCTGACTCTTGATTTCAGCTTAGGTCATGATCTCGGGGTGGTGAGATCAAGCCCTGCATCAGGCTCCGGGCTGAGGGTGGAGCCTGTTTGAGGATTCTCTCTCCCTCTGCCCCTCCCCCACCATGCTTGCACGAGCTCTCACGCTCTCCCCCTCTAAAAAAATATTAACTCCACTTCTCTTATGAGAAAACTGAAGTTCAAAGAAGTTGAGTAATTTATCGGAATTCATACAGCTAAAGAGTGACAGATCTCAGTCATGGACACAGGTCTTTCTAACCCTTAAAAACGTTACTCTTAGGGCGCCTGGGTGGCTCAGTTGTTTGGGCGACTGCCTTCGGCTCAGGTCATGATCCTGGAGTCCCTGGATCGAGTCCCGCATAGGACTCCCTGCTCTGCAGGGAGTCTGCTTCTCCCTCTGACCCTCCCCCCTCTCAT